ATTATTATTATTATTATTATTATTATTATTTCTTCCTTATTCCATTACATCTATAATAGGCAAAAGCCTTAGATACAGAATTGTGTCAATTTATCTTACTAATACTCTTAAGCAATTGTCAAGAAGACTTATAAAATAAGACAATGTATGTTTACATCATAATACAATTTCTCTGTAGCATAATACATTAAAATTTAAGATAAAAGTTTCCATCAAAGGTAACAGAATATTTTGGTCATATAGCTTAAACATATATAACAAATCCAAGATATAAAAACATTACATTTATAAAAATACAAAATTACAATTTCATGATGACCACACATCACTCGTCCCCAGTCCAATAAAACATATAATCAGGCCTCACACAGACAGCCCAAGCTGTCAGGACAACACACACAGGTGGCGGGAGGACCACAGAGGACCACAGTATGAACCTTCACCACTGTGAACACACTAATATTATAAGTGACATGAAAGAATAAGACAGAAGTGTACATTTGAGATACAAAATGTGGACAAAATTAAAATGACTCAGAATTTAAAGTGGTAGTGTTGAACCTTCAAGAATTATTACTAGTTAGTCAGTCATTTAGCCTCTTAGTCAGTGAGGTGAAACTGAAAACAGCATATTTTGAGAATAAATGTTAATGCTTACATTCCTTTAAATCATTTGTTTAAATTGAAACTCCCACTCCATTTGTATTTGTGACTTTTGTATGAATTATTTCTGATGACATCTTGGTTCTCTAAAGGTTTGTAACAATGGTATTTTCATTATACAAATGTTATGTTAAACATTGTCTATTGTCTGGTGTATGTTTGATATACCCAACGTTTCGTACACTAGATTGATCTCTGCCATCGGATATAAGGGTGAAAAATCCCACTCACTTGGGATATCTCTCTCCCTCCCTCCCTTCCTCCCCCTTCCCCTCTCATGGGACCAGTTGTGACCAAGATTTGCTCTTTCTAATGAACACAGCTGTGCATAAGGCTAGCTCATTCTAACAGTCCCAGCTATGAAAGACTTTCTCTTTCCAGTGGGCCCCATGATCAAGACTTGCTCTTTCCAATGGGCCCAGCTGTGGCTGAAACTAACTCTTTTTAATTATCGCTTTCCATTGTGATCGGGACTAGCTCTTTGTGATAGGCTCAACAGTGATCAAAGCTGTTTTTTCTAGTGGGTCCTACTGTAATGAAGACCTGCTCTTTTTCTCAGGCCCACCTGTGATCAAGGGTAACTCTTTCCAATGGGCCTAACTGTTACCAAGACCAGCTCCTTCCAGTAGGCCCAAACTATGATTGAGACTAGCTCTTTCTAATGAACCCAGCTGTGATCAAGGTTGACTCCTTCAGAGCGGCCTAATTGTGACCAAGGCCAGCTTTTTCTAATGGATCCAACAATGGTTGAGACTAGCTATTTCTGATGAGCCCAGCTGTTATCAAGGTCACCCCTTTATAATGAGCCCAAATTAACTAGTTCTTTCTAAAGGGCCCAACTATGACCAAGCCTTACTCTTTTGAAGGGGCCCAACTGTGACTGAGGCTAGCTCTTTTTAAGGGCCTAGCTATGACCAAGCTTGACTCTTTTGAAGGGGCCCAACTGTGATGAAGGCCAGCTCTTTCTGATAAGCCCATCTATAATCAGGATCAGTTCTTTCTAAGACCAAGTATCACTCTTTCGAATGGGCCCAACTCTGACCAAAACCAACTTTTTCTTACTGGCCCAACTATGAATGAGACTTGCTTTTTCTAATAAGCACAGCTGTTACCAAGATCAGCTCTTTCTAATGAGACCATCTGTGTTTAATTATTTCTAATTGGCCCAACTGTGACTAAAACCAACTCTTCCTAATGAGCCCAACTGTGATCTTGATTAGCTCTTTATAAGAGGTCCAATTGGGTGGCATCCTTTCCTCCTTACACCTGATGAGTTACAGTTTCTCAAATGCTGTGTATTCATATACCAAATGCATTTCAAGCAATGGACAGTCTCCACATAATATTTGTGTGATATTAATTTGTTAAAATTTTGTTGGTTTAGTTTAATTACACATAGCATTGCAGGTACTTTCATGCAATGTGAAATTGTCAACCTAACCTTTACACTGTGCCATATTTTTCAGCTGACTCAACAACGCCTGTACCAGGTTCATGTGCAGACCTAACATGTTATTTCGGTGCATCCTGCGAAGAACGTCGTCCTGGTCATGCAGAATGTGTCTGTCGTTCAACATGTGCAGATGAAGACTCTGCCAGCTCCCATGTAGTCTGCGGTAATGATGGACAGACATACGGCTCAGAGTGTCAGCTCAAACTCTTTGCCTGTCGCTACCAGAAGGACATAGTGGTCCAGGCACTTGGACCTTGTAAAGGTTATAACTGACATGATTTATTTTCATACTTACACCATGCATATAACTTCAACCTGTCTGTGTTAGTTATTTCCAATAAAACATGGTTCTGTGTCATTTCTCTTTAGCTGTGTCTGGGGTCTGGACTTTTACTGGATTCAGTATATGGCTGGAAATGGGGGTGAATGCATGCAGACACCATCTCCTTGGCTCCACAGTGTTCTTTTAACAAAATAGTTTTCACTGCATTAAGATATCACAACTATTGTTCCCAACAATGATGCATGTAAGNCATGACTGGCACAAACTGGGCACTTCGGCACTTAAAGGTTAAGATATCACAACTATTGTTCCCAACAATGATGCATGTAAAAATGAATTTTGTGTGGGATGTGTCAGGTTACCCTGAAGATGCGGGCAGCAGGTTCATCCAAAACGTTGGTATTTATCTAGCAGACTATGTGATATCATACCCTGAATGACTATACTAATAGTGCTTGCCTCAAATCTCGTAGAGAATTTCTTAATAGCTCAACAACTACGAGTTTCTCAAGGACAACTCTGCTCAATAGAGCTAGTTACTTAATTACCTTATAATGATCATTTAGTTGTATAATTATTTATTTGTAAATTCCATTGTCTGCTGTATACACATTTTTAACAATTTGGAGGAAAGCTGTCATTAAAAAAACTTCCCTGAATTTCTTGGTTGAGGTATAATGTGGAATTTAGTCAGTTAATCAGAGGCAAGAATAAAAACAAAAGTGTTGAAACATGTTTCAGTTCTGAAGAAGAATAGTAAATTGGACACTGGGAATTTATCTATATAGTAATACAAAATCTGATATTAAAAACAAACTTTATCAGTTTGATTTGTTTCATTCTGGTCCGTCACAATAACAATTACAATTATAAATCACTCCGTCCAATGTGACCTGTAAGTTTTTTACTACATAAAAACTTAACACCCTTACATGTTTCGGTCTCTGTGGACCATCTTCAGAGGGCAAACATCACTACAAATAGGAAACCACTATCACATAATTTGTTTACATGCAAAGTATGTACACTTATATGTTACAACACACAGTACACAGAATAGAACATTTCACAAACACAGCAGTTTCCTGGGAATGTAAAATTTTTAAAAGTTATTTAAAATTTCTTGATGCTAATTAAAAATTTTGCATTGTCAATGATTAAAATTCGTAAACCATGCAGGCTCGTGTTTGTCCTCCCAACCTCTCTCTTATGTGTTTNTTACGTGTAAACAAATTATGTGATGGTGGTTTCCTATTTGTAGTGATGTTTGCCCTCTGAAGATGGTCCACAGAGACTGAAACATGTAAGGGTGTTAAGTTTTTATGTAGTAAAAAAGTTACAGGTCACATTGGACGGAGTGATTTATAATTGAAACTTTATCAGCAATACATAACCTAAATAATTTTAAAATTTCTAGAAAGACAGCTACTACTAAACTTGATAGAAGTACAGTATTAACCAAGTGATGCTGGTAGTTAGACTAAATCTTTTTGGTAAAGATTATTTATAAAAACAAATTTTATCCAAAATACTCAACCTTTTTCTCATCTGACATCAGAGCATCACAATGGGCATTACATAGTCCACCAGTAAACAACATACACACAGTTCTTTCAGTCACAACATGACCGACTATAACAGTTGGTGGTTCAGTGATTTGACACTCATATAGAAAATAAATGTTTACAGAAACTTCATAAATTTCAGTAATAGGAATTATTTCAATATTAAAACCACATGTTATTCTGAACAATCTCAAGTGCAAGAAGTGAACAGAGGCTTTGAAATAAGCAATTGCCATCTGTAGCTATACTTTCCACAGTTTTCACAGTATATGCTCATTATCAGCAATGGAAATTTGTTGAGACAGCCATGCCAGCTTAAGCATAGGTACTTCTCACTGCTGTCTGTAACTCAGGTGCTCCAGCTGTGGGTCCAGACCCCCACAGGGTCATGACATAATGTAACAGGGGTTTTCAAATACTCAAAGAATTATTTAAAATCTGCTTGTATCCATCCACAGCTTTGGCAAGTCAGTGAGATTTAACAATTTATGTGCAGCCATCAAAATATTTCACAATTTCTTTTTGAGACAGTGGAGGAATATTTTTTGGTTTATTGTAGGTGGAAGGAGATTGTGAAGCTACTTAGGTCCCTTCTGCCACTGTACAGCCAGATATAGACCTGCAACAGTGTGCAGAACTGCACTACTTGTGTCTGTATAGGAATATTGTATAGCGTACTCTACATGTAGAGAGGCTGTAAAACTATTTAGACTCCTGCTGCCACCAAACAACCTTATCGGGATCTACGACAGTGTACAAAACTGCACTTCTCCGGCTTACCAGCAGACTTGGGGCGGGAAGTTGCATAAAACTATGTATTATTTTAGGGGGCCACGGTACTACAATGTTTGAGAAATCCAGCCATAACTAGTGACAACTCCGAATGCTACAAGGTGACAGAATGGAAAACCTATAGCTTTTATATATGTGGATGCAAATATACAATAATGTTGTGACATTATATAGTAAGGACTGTGATAAATGGAATTTCTTTGTGTGTTTTAGAGGACATGTTTCCTGGCACTGAGTGGCCACTGCGCCGTTCCACTTCCCATCGCTTCACAGAACCTGAGGATGTTAGTTCGCCATTGTACAAGTCAACACGGCATCTTCTGGTACCAGACCCTCCAAACCAGCGTTACTACTACAACAGTCACAACGAAGATGAAGCAAACAGCCTCACATCTCAATCTCTGCACCACCTGGGTCCAGGATATATGCACAGCAGCAATGGTAGGAACTGCCCTTCTAGTATTTAACCTAGCTGAAGTTTTCTTAATACCTCCTGGCCAAGAGAGTGCCTGAAAATCAAGTGCAACACTATATCCTTCACCATTCATTGAGGCTGTGTCCTCCAAGTAATCTGGTAGATGTTTGCCGACATTTTTGAGGGACATACTGCTTCATTGCTCAGTGTAGAACCTCAGATTTCATTTGTTATTTTGGTGAGTGAAGATATTTAATGATACTGTCAGTATCTTTTATTGTATAGCATCAGATATTATGCTGATAGTGAATGATGTGTGGGAACTGCTTACACTGAATCACAAATCACAGCAACAACTCACTGCCAAAGTTGCAATCATCACTAGGAAACATTCGCTGCTACACAACTCATAGATCATATACCCATGGAAGCAGTTCATTACAATGCAATAACAGAACAGTGGAACCAGGTGTTCTCTTTACGGTTAGAATGAAACTACTTAAAGTGGATGAATACAGGAACCACTAGAGAGAGCCCAACATGGGAAAAGCCTATCAGCCTATCTGCCTTGCTACCGGCAAACTGCAACATGCAACCTGCAATCTACACCAAAAGTAAAAGCAGTTTTGAGAAAACATTCCTTTCTTTTAGACAATCTTGAACAAGAAAAGCACCAGATAAATGTTCACCTGCAGAAATTTTTCTAAACTCCTCATGTATTCATATTTTATAAATTCTGGAAAATTTCTAATGTACAGATAGTCCTCATTTTAGGAAGATTCACATTACGAATTTTCAGTTAGGCAAATACATATAACAAAGTACGCATTCTTGCTTTGGCTTGTCTTTTGAACTTGAAGTGGCTTATTGAATATTCCTTGTGAACAGAAACCATCATCTTTCCTTCAGTCTCTATAAGATGTCCTCGTCTGTTTTCATCATTCATACTATCACATGTAGGGGGGTTTATGCATGACTTACAAGATTGGTTTTGTATTGGATGATTGGATTTATTGCACCTTATGCATTCACACAGTTTGGGACTACAGGTAATAAGGCACAATCGCCATTCTACATACTTTACAATTCATCAATACACATGTACTAGGATTCTCAGTCTTCACTGGTCATATCCTGGCAACAGATTTATGACAGTCTCGCTGTAACTTCAAATCACAAATGGAGTCTCCTTTGCATGGTCTAATTCATTTCTTGTCATTTCTTTACAGTCCCTTTGACTGCCATCTTCAGAACTTGACCCAGTTCTCCACAACAACTGACTCAAATGAACTCTTCTTCAACTGAACCCTGTCAACTTCTGACCACAAGTAACTTTCCCTTGGGACATCTTGTTGTGCACCCTCAGGGCAGACCTCATGGAAAACACCATCTTCTATTTTCCCATATTGTTTTAGGCATGTTTACTGATCTGTTGCCTAGGAACAGATGTCCTATTGTTGCACACAGAAATGTGTTTACCAAGTCGTTGCCTAGCAATGGGTCTATATGTCACAGTACTTTACCAACTACATCAAGACTAATTATGTTGATAGATGATGCAGCCTTACAATCTGTCCAGAGATCTGATGAGTTCTTCTGTTCATGCAGATGTTCACTATGCAGCAGGCTACCGTCCAACTCCAGCCACAATCCGGGTGATAACAGCACTGTTAGGGGATTTGTGCACCATTGATTCAGACTGTGGAGTGAAATATAGTCGCTGTGTTGGTGGGGCCTGCATGTGCAAGGATGGACATGCTGAGACACCTGACCGACAAGAGTGCCTAGGTGAGATTGTGCATCAGTTAGTGAAAAGTAACCATAATATAAAAATATTACATGTTTTTGATGTTATAATTAGAGTACTTCTATGAATTCACTAGGCCTATGACATAGTAATGTCCTAACTATCATATTTTTCTGAATATAAGATGAATTTCATCACCATCATGACACACTTTGAAGAGTTAAGTCATAAATATCTATTCCTGGAGTCCAACAGTGGTCTTGGTCTCTCCACTCTGGCACCCATAAGTTCCATCATCCACCTGTTTGGTAAGAGAATGCTAACTGTGGAAGTAATATAAATTTCTTTTTGTCTGTCATTCAACATCTGAACATTATTCTTCATCTTACGGTTGTGGATGAAGTACTTCAATGAAATAAATATTTGTCAGAACAAGTCTGGAATACCCAGTGTTCGTAGCAAGAGTCGGACTAATAGTACTGCCACAGGCAGGTTTCTTATGTAACAGAAAGCATAGTTAGAGCTGGCAGGAAGTGAATGATAAGTAGAGGGCTCTTTTGTAGAATACTATGACATTGTAGTATGTAACAACTTACATTCCTGGGTCTGAACATGAAATGCTGAGTATATCTTTCTGTCTTGAAAAGAGGGGATTCAGTTAGATACAATGTTAAATTGATTTGCAAAGGCTGAAAATCTCTTCATGCCCCATATGGTCTTTAACCCCTTGAAGACTTCTTTAAATAGAACCCTACCAGCCCTTGCATTTACATTTAAATGGCAGTGTAGTCCTTTTGTTTCAGTATGGTTGTAGGAAATATCTTCATCTAAAAACATCTTTTGTGTATATCTATGAGAATAAATAAAATATGTTCTTTTGTCAGCGAAAGATACAGAAAGCATAAAATTGTGATTCATTAATGGCAGGATAAAATACTAGCACATTTTAAGCCCAGATTTCAAAAGACCTTGGAAATGTTTTACTGTTACTTGGACAATGCTGATGGCTATGTCTCAAAAACAGCTTTCCTCAGCAATTGCTTAAGCACCTAGCTGATGCAGAAGTCAAAATGAGACACGTTTTAATGATATTGTAGCCAACACTCCTCCGGTTCACCCAACAATAGAGTTCAGAGCCTGTGCATCACAGCCTTGTCAGCACGGTGGAATGTGCCTTGATGTGTCTCATGGTTCCTTCACCTGCCAGTGTAAGCCTCAGTGGACAGGGTCTCAGTGTGAAGATCCAGTTGTTCAACGAGGTAATGATCTGTTATCTGAAACTTATCATGTCATTATGATAGACTTGATAAATGATAAATCAGTTACTTAAAACAGATTATCTGTTACGGAAGTGAAGAGAATACCATTACAGGGTATTCAAAGATGGGTTCTGTTTGCTGGGATATAATGCTGTGTAGTCCAGTGAAAGTCAACATATTGCCTCCAGCTTCAGGGTCAAAGAGTAAGGCAAGCAAGAAACCAGCATGAAGCAAGCAGCAAGCAGACTTTCACCAGATCGTGATGCTTTACACACCAGAAAATATAACTCTTCATAGTCACTGCTGTGAGAACCTCAAATCCAGCAAAATATTCATTGTGTGATACCCTCTTCCCAATTGAGTTACTTATGTATTACTGCAATCCTGTCATATTGGGTATTTTTGCAGTACTAAAACTCATTAGAACTTTGCTGAGTGGATTTTGGCCTGCTCTGTTACAAGTATCTCTCAGAGACAGACAAAGATATGGTTGTATGTTTGGATTTCTGCTGTTTGTTCATGTATTGCCCACAAGATGAGGGAATTTAAAAGCATCGCATAAGAAACAGTTGTGCAGTGACTGTTAAGAAGCGCCTAGTGAAAACACAAATAATTACATCATGACCCTGGAAGGATTAAGTAATTATCATAAATCAGTAATTTGGATATATAATTTGCCAGTATAAAAAATAAGATGCATACAAATATAAGGTGGAAATGTCTCTTAAAAGCAACCAGTTATGATACAGAGACAAGATGGGAGGATGTGCTCTATGATGAGCTGCTCTTCACACTAAGAATTTAAGTGAACTTTATTTTAAAAACTTATCAGAAACAGTCAAATTATATCATAAAGTATTATTTATATAGCTTATTTGGTCTCCCAACATGTTTTGACATTTGGTTTTCCAATATTTTTTGACATTTAATTGTCATCTTCAAGGGTGTCAGTTCAATAAATACACTAGTAAAGTTTTTAACCACCATCCAGTGTGGACAGTGGTTAAAAATCTTATGTACAATTACTAGCATGATGGACCAGGATGAACCAAGTTAACACTAGTAAGAACTTGCTGAAGGTTATTTCACACTGTTATGTATGAGGTTTAAAAGTTATTGAAAAGCTATTATGACAAATGAGAAGACAGCATTCTACAAAATAAACACTTTGTATGCCATTCAACAGTCTTGATAATCAAGTTTCATGTAGAAATTTATGGTAGTACATTAAAATGATTATATGAGGCTGTAATAAATGTATTTGATCTCTTAGGGACTGTTTTAAGAGAGGCAAGTAATAAACATATTGCTTTATGCCTCACTATTTTTATTTTATTTCAGCCTCATTAATTTTTTCTGTATTTTGTTTGTTGTCTCTAGCCTGGCTGAAAGTGTACTGTTAAGCCAGTGGTGTACTTATCTAGTTTGGGGAATAAATCAGTATTAACAACATAAGGTCCATATGTATGTACCATGTAGAAGGTCAAATAAGCAGTTATTATTTTTGCATCTGTATTATATTCTTTGCAGAAAATGTTGGCACATTCATTGACAGTTATGCAGAAGTCTGGTAACTCCTTCAAACAAAAAAACAAACTCTGTGATTTTAGTCTGCAAGCGAACTATACTGACCGAGCGACCACCGCTTGTTGGCGAAGTTTAGTGCCAATTCCAGCTCTTAAACTAATTGCCATAAATTTGTTCCTGAAACTGGAACATCAAGACTGCTGAACAGCATAAAAATACTTTAATACTTCATTTTACATCCTGGTATCTTCTCATTCGTGGGACTAACTTTTGAATAGCTTTTAAGTTTTGCTAATGTATTTATTGAACAGATACCATTGAAGATGATATTTAAGTGTCAGAATGTATCATGATACCAAGTTAATTAAGTAATACCTTTTGTTGAATTTTGACTGTCTTCAGATAAGGCTTTGAAATTACTGTGGATTACAACAGTACACTATACAAAGTTAAAATATGATGAAGTTGGTTGATTGGTTTCAAATGGCTGCATTTGGGATCATTAAACCCATTTTGCTGCTTGCTTCTTAATAGAGAGCACTCAAGTTCTTGCTTTGTTGCATCACCTTGTTAAGATTAGGGCATTGAAGGAGGTGATGAAGTTGTTAGTATTAATTCACATTAATAATAGTATTAATGCATTGTCTTATATATTGCAGCCTATGATATTCCTGCCTTTGATGGGCACTCTTATGTGCAACTCAAACGACTGAAGGCTTACAACAAGCTGAGCTTGGAGGTGGAGTTTAAAACATATGCTAATGATGGCATCATACTGTACAATCAGCAGAAGGAGGATGGAACTGGTGACTTTGTATCTATTGGTTTAGTAAATGGGTGAGTGACTCTTCCTCTGTGACCATATCCATGGCACAGATTCTTCAGCAGTTTATGGAACTTGCTGCTCTTTTCCTCTAGGATGTAGTAGATAGTTATCACTCCAAGATTGAGGGAGCAGGTTCCTCCAAGTTGTTGGTATCTGTTTGCCCAACCCATGTCACATTCAAGAATACAAAATTCTTAATACTCCCTGGCATGAGAATCTCAGCTTTCATCTATTTCTGCTTTTATGAAACCTGGAATTTCAAAACATTTATAAAAACGTACAATTGGATTGTATCTTGATGTAGGTGAATCTAGTCCTTTTGTTCACATCTTACTTCTTTAAGTTTCATTTTCCACTTAATTTCTTCCAGGTACAAATATACTTTTCAGCATTTTATTCTTTAATATACTCACTCTGTGCTCTTCCCATAAATTGAATGACAAAGTTTCATACCTATATAGAATAACAGACAAACTTATAGAGATCGCAGTCTTTTGAGATGTAGTACTTGGTACCTTGGTATGAGTATATAGGTCGTTATATTTTGGAGGAACCTGCTTCTACCCCAAAGACAGATGCAGCAGGTTCCTCCAGAACAGTGGTATCTGCATACAGTGCTACATGGCATGACATCCCAGAAGTCCATCATCATCATCATCATCATCATCATCATCATCATATTCACTGCCATTTGAAAGTCAGATCTCATTTAGGCTAAATTATAGTTGCATGTATTTGGTTGTTTTCATTACGTTCTTAGACAAAAAGCAAATGCAATATTATTATGATGGACAGACTGGAGTCTGCTTGTGTATTCTGGGACATAACATTTGCTTTACACACAGCATAACTGTTCAACTGCCATTTTAATAGTGTTCGTGATGGAACCCAGCGGAGAAGACTGCGTGTGGCAGGATCTGAAGCAGAAAAATGGGTTTTCTCAAACATGGGCCTGCCATAATAATTCTCCATGGATTGACAAAATGCTAATGGAAGCTTTGCTGATACTTTGGACTATGCGTGAAGGAAAAATATTTTCCTGATTCAGAGTCTCTGTATGGTGTCACAGATGCAGAAATCATTTTGAATCACTACAAAATTATTTGTTCAGCACTTATCCTGCAACATCATATAACGAGGACAATGCGCAACAAATTCAGAAGGTTGTGCACTCAGATTATCATTGCATGGTACAGATAACTCCAGAGAAATTCGGAATGTTAGGGTGTTCCACGACAGTTATTTGTTTACTAACTAAAAACTCCCTCACAGACAATGCCGTGTGAGCAGGTCCTTTGGGACCATTTTTGCACACACCTTCCTCATGTCAAGATATTCAGTTAAGATTTTCCTGACTGTTTCTCTGTCAATGTTTGCTTGCTCTGCTATGTTCCTGACAGTCAGCCAACGATACTCACGCACAGTTTGACAGACTTTTGCAATACATTGAAACAAAGGTAACTATAACCTTACCATTAGTACATTAGTAGGGAACAAAGTTTTGTTTAACAATGCAGAAGGGCCCATCAGTAACACAGAAATAGAATCAAGCTACTGAGAAAACATTCCAGTGTTAGGTTTAGGAATGCCAATTTGTTTTATACTTAGCAAGTTTGTTGGTGTTTATAGCCAAATGCTCATGACCCACGGTGTGAAAGATCAAACTTACTGCAGTGAGATTTATAACTTTACTGACGCCAAGGGAAAAAAAAATTTACATTTTCACTGATCTGTTACCCTTCCCCTTTCAACTTATTTCCCTGTGTTCCCTTCCAATCTAGCCATTTAATTGAAACAGGTACTGATAATAATATGTAATCACATGATAAACTTCAACATTAACTCTTTTATCGAGTTGATTTGGTGGTGAGGGGGGAATACAGCTGTACCTGGAAAACAGGAAGCCTCAAACACCATCATCCCCACCATCCATGGGACTTCTTTCTGTGAACTCAATAGAAGTTGAGAAATATCTCGTTTTTGTTGGCAGATATGTTGAGTTCCGCTACAACCTGGGGAATGGGCCAGTAGTGATCACATCATTAGACCGCGTGGAGATGAAAAAGTTCCACCGTGTGGTGGTAAAACGTTACCATCGTGATGGCATGCTCAAACTGGATGATTATGAAGATGTTGCAGGACAGTCACAAGGGTCTTTGAAAGCCCTTGACTTGGTGGAAGATGCCTACGTAGGATATGTGCCTACAAATGTCTCCAAGTGAGTTTGATTTGTGGAAAACACGTACAAAATATTCCAGTTATATGCATGAAGTTCTTCAGCTTTTTTGTTCCAGACAAGACCTCACTATATCTGTTGCTTGCTAATGTTAATTCTAATAAAAAAGAAAATATAATTTTTCTTTAAGTTTTGGCTATTTCTTGCTTCAAGTATTATGTTTTTTGGACATTATCCAGCATCCTGTCTATTTTCTAAAAACCAGTCTGTTTCTTTTTAGAGAAGGATACTAACTCAGTAAATTCCACATGAAACATGTTTTATATTATTTATTATCTTTCACGCATTTTTAGTGAAATTATAAAATTAATTAAAAAAATTACTTTTTGTATGTAGACTTGTCCTCTGTTTCAGGATTGTGTTCCCTTCATTTAAATATGACAGTACACACAGAGCACTATGCAATTGTGACCATTATTAAAAAAATTGTTAAAATGAAAATTGCGCCTATTAGAGAAAATTTTTGTTGTCTTCTTAAATTTTGAAATTTTTCCAATTCATCATCTCAGTTTCATATCAGACTGAAATAATCATTCTCACATATGCCTGGTTATATGTAAGATTTCAGTCTGAATAAAGTTTAAAGTTTGAAAGCTAGTTTCACTTCAAAGTTTAGATGAAGTTTGAAAACTTGTTGATTTATTTTAATATGCTTTTGTTTGTGTAGTTTTGCTGTTCCTATCTTTTATATTGCTTTAACAGTTAACTATTGCCTCTCATTAAATTCGTTTATTTTCAGTTAACATGTCTCTATGCCTATTTGTACCCACAGGGTGTTCGAGAATATTGGAACAGCAATGGGCTTGATGGGCTGCATTCGAAAGCTGAAGATCGGTCGTCGTCTTGTTGAGTTACATGAGGGTCAAGACGTCATGGTGGAACACGTAGTAGGAGTTCGAGAATGTGGAGAGAACCCTTGTTCCAGTCTTCCTTGCTTGCATGGTGCTACCTGTCATGCCATAGATTCAGACAAGTTCCGGTGTGCATGCACTCCAGAATTTTCAGGTCGGAATAATGTTAAGCTTTTTGGTAATGTTGTGACACACTGCTTAAAACTACCATTTTGAACTCCAAACTTTGAACTCTGTCCAACAGGAACAATGAATGGAGTCAATGATAATGGTCTTAAACAGAGAAATGTTGCAAGCTTGAGGCTGTCATGGTGGTAACATTTTATGTATTCTGAGATTTGATGCTATGTAGCGCAGTGATCACTTACCAACATTTCAGAGGAACCTCCTGTTATAGATGTGTGCACGTTTGTTCCTTTTATGTTGAACATTGTATTAAAATATCAGAATTTATTTAGAGTATTGTTTGCTGCAGGAGATTTGTGTCAGGAGCGTGTGGACCCTTGTCTTTCCCAGCCTTGTACTGCTGGATCAACATGTGATGCTCTTCCACAGGGAGGCTTCATCTGCATGTGTCCACCTGGCAGGAAGGGGAAATTGTGCCAAGACTGTAAGTGAACACTATAGCAATTCTGTGCCATGGGCTCTTTTTCCTGGTATTTTTATTTTCTCATAGATTCTGGTTGCTTTCTACCAGGAGTGTAAACCTTAAAAGTATAAGTGTTAGATCAGTTCAGTATGCATTTCAGGTTGAAGGAAAATGACATAAATGATGGTATGAAACCATTCTCTTTGTGACCTAATGATGGTTTTATGTTTTGAAATTCAGAATGAATGGCAAACAACTCTTAAAATGCACATATTTAAAGATGCTGATGCTCAGCTTCAAGGTTTATAAAACTGTATACTTCACATTAGAATAAGTGCCAAAATGGCATCCCAGAGCCTAAGAAAAGAACCAAGGCACTGCCTTTAACTTTTCTGACCTAACTTCAGTCTTAGTTTCTGTGCCTCCAGCTGTGATCAGTTTATTTTTAGCTTTTTCCCATCTAGGCAACAGTGTACAACCCATTTCTGAGGTACGGCACAGGAGGATGCATTCCTTTACTCCCAGTGATAAGACAGTCATGACAAGAATGGGCAGAAGAAGGGGTCCAGTGTAATTTATGCTCCCAAAGCTTTATCTTTTCTAGGGGTTCAGATTTCAGTACATTAGCAGATAAAATCTGCAAACAGATCTGACAGAGGATCACACTTAAGAGCGCTCTGAATGGAAATCCATTATCATAATGAGAGACCTCCAGTGCCCTCTTGTCATACATTTTAGAGGCTCATAAATTCATACCTATAATAGCTCAAGATTTTCATGACAGTAATTTTACAGATTGTGGTCTTGTGGGTTGTGACACTGTGTAGTCAGGTAGGCATATAGCAGTGGTTTGGTTACATAGCGAAACTGCAAAGGAGGTGGCCTCTCAGACTCAAAGGAATGGAGAAGGCAGAATCCATTCACATTTTGGAAGGCCAGCTATATCTCCTTTACTCCCTGTGGAGCCAAGTGACCACCTTCCTTGCAGCCTTCAGGTTGTTATTCACATGTCAGGAAGTGACAGAAATGTATAACTTAGCAGGAAGGCACATTTTACATCTTCATTGCATATTGTGGCTTTACTAGGCAGTGACCGTGAAACAAATGAGACAACCTCCATTGCTAGACAAAGTTTCATAAATATGCAACAGTACTGGAGCTATTGTTAGGCAGTGGCCCATGCATAACCATGGAAATAATGTTGGAAGCGGTGTTTTCTATGAGTCCACTCCAAGGCTATATCATTCAACTGACTGAGTTAGTGCAGCAGAACCCCATGTGGAGGCATGTTTGAATACCACTACTGTAGCCCTGCGTGTTGTAGGAGGTGATGAGAATGAAAACCAATTGCCTGGGGCATAAATGGGCCACCCTACTCCTGGGGGATATGTGTATGGGGACCTGGTCCTCCAGGGTGGGGGAATCTCGAATCTGAGACAGTAAAATATGGTCATGAGTCCTGCAGGACTTGGACCCAAGAATGACTGTGCTAGTAAAGGCCAGTAGCAATTGTAAATGACAGACCCATCCTGTCATCAGACAAACTGATTGGTGGTAAACTGCCAGTCGTATAGTAACTGTGACAGTGCAGTGCAGTGTAAGAGCTAGTTAGTGGAGTGGAGCAAATTGGTTGGAGAGAGAGAGTGAGAGAGAGTGAGTGAGTTAGAGGACTGCTGCGCTTCATTCGTTGTGAGCTGTTGCTGTTAGAAGCTAGTAGCTGAGGCACAGGGATAGTTTGGGAACCCAGAATGAGAAAAACGTCTGCCATCGGAAGCCATTGCCGGGCAAGGACTGGTGAAAACACAGCAGAATGAGAAGACTTAGTACATGCTGCAGTGAATTGCAAAGTGTGTGAATTAGTGATAGTGCTATAGTTACTTGTAGTTCCAATCTGTAAGTGGTCAGTTAATTCAATTACTCATCCAAACCCCATCTGTAGTTTGTAGCTACTTAACTTGATGGGATCTTAAAAAGATAAGATGGGATGGTTTGGATTGGATTGATCTGGCTCAGGATAGGGACCAGTTGATGACTCTTGTGAACATGGTAATGAACCTTTGGGTTCCATAAACTGCTGGGAAATTCTTGAGTAGCTGCAGATTTGGCTTCTCCTCAAGATGGGCTCAGCTCCATTAGTAAGTAAGTAAGTAAGTAAGTTAGTAAATAAGTAATTAACTTGATATCCAGTGTACGATGAGAATGACTTTGTGACAAATGAATAATTACAAGTGGTTTTGTGGCAAGTGACAGATATAGTCCATTGAATCAATGGAACAGGATGCTGCAATGCATTCTTATAGAATCATGACATATCAGTGTCCTGTAGATTTAACAATACGAATGTAAAAATAGTTTAGAACTTTGTGCGCTTCACCATCTATATGTAATTCACTTAGCTTTGTCAACACTGTAATATATTACTCTGTACACTGTCACATCTATGTTATAGCCTAGCTTTACAACAGCATATTTATGTCTGCAATAAATTAATATCATGACCAGTGAGGAATGCAGAATCACAAAGAATGCTTTATTCTATAAGAATTGTTGTGACAATTTGCTTCCTTCTATGACAGTGGATGCTGAATTACATNGACAAAATAGACACCTATTGACTGGTTAACTGACACACTGCTGGCAAACTCGTAACTTGAGAACTGACTATGAATAGTCTTCGCCGGGGGGGGGGAGTGGTGTCCTGCGTAGCACGACACGTCACAATATCATGACCAGTGAGGAATGCAGAATCACAAAGAATGCTTTCTTCTATAAGAATTGTTGTGACAATTTGCCTCCTTCTATGACAGTGGATGCTGAATTACACGAAGTTTTCATCCCAGAGTTTAATGGAGATTCTTACCTGGAACTGCCACGACTTGAGGGGGTTGGTCGTGCCTTCTCACTTGAAGTGTGGTTTCTGTCTCGGGAGCCAGATGGAATCCTGCTGTATAATGGCCAGCTCACTAATGGAAAGGGCGATTTTATCTCTGTACATCTTGTTAATGGATACATCCAGTTCCAGTTTGATTTGGGCAGCGGTGCAGCCAATCTCACGTGAGTTTCTTTTGCAATACATACAGAGGGACCAAAAGAAGTGTATACACACTTTAATACAGGTTATCTATAGATATTTTGTAATTATGCGACCTAGTTATCTATCTTTGGGCGTTCTTTTAATTACTACAGATCTGAAGAGCCTGAATTCTGACAGGAATCATCTGAGAGATTTGCAAATATCATATGCTCAGCCATGTGCTTAGATAGAGTATGGATTTATGTACACATGTTTAAACACTGTCCAACTCTTCTATTGCATTTGCAACACTCACGCCCACCCAAAAGTACAGATGAAGCATTTATATGGTCCAAGATTCAACATAATGAGAAAATGTAAGAAAGAAAAATAAAGTAATTTCAAGATGTAATACTTTATTGCAAAGATCAGAACAATGGTGGGGAAATTGGGGGGTTTTCCCCTGTCATATAGAGAAATGATTGAAGTCCTGCAATAACAGAATTTAAAAATATCTACAAATGAGTTTGATGGAGGGATGATACTATTGTAATTTTAATTGTTCCGTGTGGTTGTTATTCACGGTGTGGTAGAGAATATGGAATGTTTTTGTTTATGAATACATTCTGTTTTATTGATAAACAAATATAATTTACATATTACTATGTGGTATGAAGACTTATATGAATACAAAGATGGTACTGTGATGCAAAAACATTCATTAGGTGAGTAATATTATGAAATAAACATATTATCTCACAGTTGCTCAGTTGCTCAGTTTACATTTCATTTATGAAATCTGAAAAAAGGCTTTGTTGTCTTCTTCTGATATTGAAGGACACTGACATGAAGCAACCGGTTTAAGTGAACCCAGCTGCATGTATTGGAATCTTTCCATATTTTGCAGCTCACCAGAACCCATTCTTCTGGGACAGTGGCATGCAGTCAAAGTGAGTCGGCTTAACCAGGAAGGAGTTTTGCAGCTGGATGGGGGGCCACCTACCAAAGGAACATCTGGACCACCTCTGAATGAACTGAACCTAGAACTGCCCCTTTATATTGGGGGAGTTATGTGAGTGTAATAATTATGGTCATCTTTTTGTCTGACTAGTAATTCTCACAGACCTTGCCTCTTTCATCTTATTGTCTTTCTGCCCTTAATTCTGTCCCTATCTCTCCCATAGTCCCACATTTTCCTTTTCCTGGTATCCCAAGTTAGCCTGTTTCATATCCCTTTTTGGCCCTTCATTATCTTTGCCCCACCTCCTTGAGTCCCTCCTTCTTGTCCTCTTCCTGTTTTCTTTGAATTCCTTCGTTCTCAAGCTCCTGACCCCCTTAACCCACCCTATCTTGTTGAGCTTGCATCTTTTTTCTTCTGGTAACCTCTTCCATTCACTATCTTCTTTCTTGTTCTGCAGATTCTCTCAGCTTTGTACATTATTCCCTTAATCCTTTCATCTACCATATGTTTTCCTGGTTCTGGTAATTCTCTCCCTTACCACTCAAATGCAAGTCTATTATCACTCTCCTATAAGAGGGTGTTCAGTTGAGACAGAAATGTGGCTACAGTTTACTTCATGACCAGTGCGGAGAGAAGTCTTCCCAACTTGCAGTGCCGAAGCTCTTTACACACATGCACACACACACACACACACACGCGTATTTTCCACTGATGGAATCAGAGACTGTGAGCTAATACTCTTTGACAATTTATTTCTAATCCAGGTCTTTAATGGAAGTTAACCGGGATGCTCGGATAACAAGAGGTCTCAATGGGGCTATCCAGCGTCTCATAGTTAATGGCCACACATGGCAAAACCTAGCAGAAAGAGCAGGCTCTGAACATCAAAAAGGAATATCCCGCTATGATGGACCCCCATGCGCCACTTCCCCTGAGGCTAATCCATGTCTCAATGGTGGAATCTGTCAGCCCATGTTGGCAATGTATGTCTGCAAGTGCCCCCTAAAGTACAATGGAAAACACTGTGAGAATCGTAAGTACACAAACACTGTAACTGATTTTATGTCATGTTCAAAGTTTATCTTATACATGTTACAAGCCAGAAGGTTGCAAGTTCAAGTCCCAATGAGGTCACTGGATTTTTTCATTTGACCTAATCTTTCCAACAGCACTAGGGCCCTGGGGTTGACTCAGCCTCTAACAGAAATGAGTACCAGAAATTAATTAAATAATTTTCCTGGGGAGTAAAGGGCAGCCAGTGCATAAGGCTGACAACCTTACCGCCATCTTTGAGCCGATTGTCTAGATAATGTGGGACCCTCAACATCTCACAACCCCATGGGCCTTCACGGCCTGTTACAGGGATAGCTTTACTTTTTTTTTCTTTCTTTACGTAAAATAACAGAGAATATTAATGTCCTTCCAGCTATTAAATATCACTTGCCATGAAGCAAGGAAGATGTCTGTGTTATATTCATACAGACTGCACGGTATCTGTGCCATCTGCAGCAGATTTTGGGATTCCTTTCATGTCCTGTGTTATGTCATCCCTTTCCATGTCATCATATGAGATGGTGATAGTTGCAAGAGTCAGACTAGTTGACTGCACAATAGCCTACATAGTCTTCTTACAGAAATTCATAGCTATTCATGTAATTAAATATGCCTCTGTTGTTATAGAATCAAGACAATCACCATCATGATCATTAAAGAACAAAATTACACAACCTGTTTTCCCAAGATTAGTTTTAATATTGTCACTGTATTGCTACCTTCTCTTCAGGTTTCTGAAACAAATTATTTACGTTGATCTTATTCTCATATGCTGCTACTCATCTCATTCTTCATAATTTGACAATTTTTAAGTGTAAAATGTGAGTCTTAGTTACTTCTTCTTTCTAGGCCAGAACATTTTTCTCAAATCTTTATTGTCAAACACCTGTTTGTAGTGACTCTAAACACAGATGTTAGCAAGTAAGTATGCAATGATGTGACACAGATATTTTGTACTCATTGTCATTACTTCATAATATTTGTTCCAGGCATTGACAGCATAGATATGGAGAGACCTGTTAGATTCACAGGAGAGACATTCTATCAGTATCCCAATAAAGTTGGAAAAAGGTAAATATCCTTAAAATATTCTCTCATTGTCTTCACTTTATTGTCACATGTAGTGACAATAAAGAGAAAATGACAAGATAATGTTAACAGTGTAACAGGATTCTGCAATTTAATATCCTCAAAGTATATGTTGATAATTCTTGTCTCTTCAGTGCTTCCATTCTGTTTTCTGTAATTCTGTAAACACATTTCCTTAAACATTGTCTCCCAAACACTTTGTAATTTTCCATAATTGGAAATTTATGGATTGGATTTAATTGGATGTATGACTTGGAACTCAGATTTCATGCTTACACATTGTTGTAGTGCTCCAGTGGCTCAAATCATAGTTATTAGAAATCTACAGTAAAATATTAATTCATTTAATATTTTAGATCATTAAATCTATGTTGTTTGAGATCCCATTATTGATTTTGTTACAGAAAGAATAGAACTATAAAAAACTAGGGGTTAAAATATTGACAGTTTGTCTGGGCCTGAAGCTCAAGGAATGTAATCCTGTCTGTCTCATGTTAATAACGAATTTGACTTATGATTTATCTACTAGAGCTCAGTTTTTGAGATTACATTAAGTCATAAGTCGGGCATATGACTGTAACAAACTTCACTGACAGTTTGCACCCTCCATACGCTGTCTAAAAGAGCATGCCATAACAAATCTGTAC